AGACTGTTGCATACCGGAAACATGGAACAATGCAGTATTAATTTTACTACATAAGAAAGGAGACAAGGCGCATCTAGAAAACTATAGACCAATCAGCTTATTGAACCGCATGTATAAAATGTTTACTCGAATAATTACGACAAGACTAGAAAAAAAAGTTGAATTTCTACCAGTCCCGAGAACAAGCTGGCTTTCGCTCAAAATTCGGAACAAACGATCACCTACAAACAGTAAAAACCTTAGCAGAAAAATCGATAGAATATAATAGATCACTGGTACTATACACTGTCTTCGCAGACTTTCACAAAGTCTTCAATACTGTGGAATTAGACAGCATTATAACTGCTCTGAACAATAGCAGAATAGACTACCGGCTTACAAAGTTAGTACAAATATTGTACCAAAACGCCATAATGCATGTAAAACTACATGATTACCACCAGAGAAATTCATATAAGCGAGTGTGAGACATGGAGACACTCTCTCACCTATATTATTTATAACGGTCCTCGAATGCGCCTTTAAAATATTAAACTGGAAAAATAGAAGAATAAAAATAGATGGGGACATGCTCAATCATCTGCGTTTTGCCGACGATATAGTACTTATTACCGAAGATCTGCGTGAAGCACAAAAATTCTACGAGAATTAGAAAACGTATCTTCAACAATAGGTCTAAAAATGAACATCAGGAAGAGACCTATGTCCAACAGTGGACAGATGAGGTTGCATGCTGATGATGATGATAATGAAATCGTAAATAATTGTTCATAGATGATTGTAACCTGAGGAATAGTTCCATTTTATTATCCAGTCTATGAATACTATAAACAGTCTTGGTGAATGACACAGTTTTGTCCCACTCCTTTTTTTTCATGGTTGTTGTGACCATTTTCTGTGGTTTAAAGCTATTTCACTTATTGATTCTCTGTAAATATTTCTTTATATGTATAATCTTATTTATCGTATTTATTGAAAAATTTTATTAACTTCATAAAATTAAAAAATATATATATTCCCTTTTCATTTTATTCGTTTATTATTTGTAATAGTATAATCTTGATTTTTGATGTTGTGTATGTGAAATAAAACTGAACAAATGCTAATTTTTTACGACTTTATAACCCTTATCCTATTATTTTGTGAAGCTTGCACAAGGACAAATTTGGAAAACCAAAAAGATTGAACCAGGAACAACTAGAAAGTATTAGATTAAATGGGTACGTTCGATTGACTGTGGACTGTCTATCTAAATCTACTTTTTCTGCAGAACGTTTTGTTAGAACATATTTTTTTGATCTTTCGATTATTTGGCGTGTTTTTTTGTGACTTTATTAAATAATGATTTGTGCTAAAACATCAAAGTCGACTGATACTAGCGCTAGTCTATGTTTTTTATTATTTCCATGTAAAGAGGGTAATAAATTTCTCATTGCACAAAATTTTTATTACATTTTGAAACTTTAGTATTTAGTCATAAATAAGCTGCCCAACAAGTTAGGGATATTACTAGAAAGTGTTTAAAATGAATTTCCGAACAGAAATATTGCACGGTCCGTGCAAATAAGAGTCGTTCCTCACGACACCTTAACAAAGTCATTCATCAGAAAACACTTGTAGATATAAGATTTTATTTCAGACGGAGATTCAGTTCAAGCGATCTCAGTCTAAGTAGAACTATTAGACTGTGATACGAAATTGTCGCTCTTTCATTTGAGAATGTGCGTTGCGAACGCGAGGAACTCAAAGTTCACGCGCGATTTTGCACCTATGATCATAATATCCATTACGCTTCCTACCTCAGTCAACACTTCTCCTACTCTTCCTCACTACTGCTCGTTCACTTTGTTATAAAATTTAATTGTTTTAACATTTGAATGTGTATTTATTACTATTAATTTCAAAGAATATCGTTTTCACTATTGTACACGAACATTTAGGTATGACAAAGCTGTTTTCCAAATGGATGCTGCGTTTTCTCAAACCAGAACAAAACAACAATGAATTGATGAGTCTATGCGCTCTTTGGACATGTTTAATCGGAATAAGTTTGTGCATCTGTATGTCACATTACATGAAATGAATCCATGACTTTGCTACTGAATCATAACGGCACTCATCTGATTCACTTATTTCGATTGCTTCGAATAAAATAATAATTGGTATTCACATTCTCATAGTTTTACATGAACTATATTCATGCAGGTCAGAATTGATATGATTTGCCCAAGTGAGTAAATTGTTTTTGTATATTTCGTTACTATTTCAGTGATGTGTACTGTGTGTGTGTGGTGTCACTGCAGTACATTTTCCGATGGTGTTTTTAATAAAACAATCATAAATGCCCTTTTACATGGATTTTTACTAAATCTGTAAAATATTGAATAAAATTGCATCGATAATAGGTATCAGTCGATTTTTTAAAACAAATTTGTAATAAAAACCATAATATTTTGCTGATGTGTTATTTGTAATTTGATAAACGTCGTGCATATTTTGAGTTTTTGAAGTATTTTTTAAATATTCAATGGAAATTTATCATATTTGTCTATAACATTGAAAGCTCAAAGAAAACTCTACTAACTTCCGAAAAAAAAAGATTCCGGTTTTCCATTGCGTATATTTCTATGAAATTTTTGGTGTTTGAATATTACTATATCAGTCAAAAATATTTTCACGGATCTATCTATATCGAAGCTGGATTTCAAAGAAGACTTAAACTTCACCGCCATTTATTGATCTCACGGCGGCTTACGATACAGTATGGAAAAAGGCTCTTATGTACACTCTCAGTAAAATCCTCTGTACACCAATTGCACGCCTAATAAATAGCATGCTCAACGACCGACTGTTTCAAATAGTGATGAGTACTGTACATGGTATAATAAACGACAAGTAGTACTGTATGAGTACTGATCAACTCACCACAGAAACTTAAGAATGGCCTACAACAAAGATAGACTAAATAGTAGTGTAGAGTGTTCTCTCCATGTACTATTTAGCTTATATTTACCAGAGATGCCGGAAAAAAAAATCAAGAAAGTTCGGGTACGCTCGACGACTGGGTCCTTTCCGTAGGTGGAGACTACAACCAAATACTTCCAAAACAGACGTTAGTTGCTTCCACCTGTCAATTTCAATATAGAATATATTAATTTACTTAATGTTTGTAACTGGTTAAAGTTTGACATATATATATGTGTATTTTTAGGGTTAAAAAACGTTTCAAGATGTGTTGAAATTGCCACACGATAAATAAATAAAAAATAAATACTTTTCGGATAATTGCACTACGTATAGTTGGAATATTCAATTAAATTCCTAAAATATCTCTTCAGCGATTCTCTTTTATTAAGTTTTGTCAATGTCACTGGAATCCTGATAAACCAATAAAACGTAGAATCGAAAATTAACGTCTGTCTTGTATTTTCAAAAAATTGATTAATTTTTTTTATTCCATATGAAAGTGTAGTACTTTAACAGTATTAACATCAAATTTGAAGTAAATTCGAGCAATATTACCGCAGTTATAGAAATTTTGAATACCGCGAGGTTGGTACGTGCGCTCTCTTTAATTTTAACACGTTTTTCCGTGCGGTAGACACGATTTCTCGAGAATGAATCAACGAATTTTGCTGAAACTTTGCATAGTTCATCTCTGTAGTATTGTTTTGGTGATTGAACGAAGGGATTGAAAAACAAATGAAGTTTGAAGTTTTGACATAAGTTTGAATGAATTTTCTCGTTTCATATTTTTTAACATTTTTCCGATTCTCATTCATTCCTTCATTAATTCTCGAAACAATACTATAAAGATAAACTGTGCAAAGTTTTAGCAAAATCGATCGATTCGTTCTCGAGAAATCATGCCTATCGCACAACATTTCGAGAAAAACGCGATCGAAGTTTTTAAACTGATAGCGCACGTACCGACCGTGCGGTATTCAAATCTCTATAACTTCCGTAATATTGCTCGAATTTATTTCAAATTTGGTGTGAATGCTCTTGAAGTACTATACTTTCATATGGGATAAAAAATTAATCGATTAAAATCTCCGTGAATGGTTTGGATGCAGTTCAATTGAACTATTCAGGCGAGTAACCAATAAAATTATAATTGCCAGAATGATTTCCAATCTCCGATAGGAGTGGAACTTGAAGAAGAAGAAGTCAATAAAATTGATGGTGCTACAGTCCGCTGTTGATACCTGCGAAAAATAATTGTTGGCGATACTAAGATTGGTGAGGTAAAGGACGATGTTTTGACTAATACCCAAAAAACTGGGAAATACTAATCAATACTTAGTCGAGGTTAGAGGTAGCCGATGATCATTACTCGATCGCAGACGGGAAGGATCAAAACTCGAAGACTTCTGGTGGGAGCTATTTCTTAGATCAGTACTCCGGACTGAACTCCCCTCGTTTTTGTCGGTATAATACGGCGTTTTATACCTTCTCCGGTGTTCCATCTCCAGCGCGCGTCGATGGTAATGGTAGGTGTCGATTTGAGTGCGTGCGTACAGAGAGATGGCAAGCCGGCGGCGGCATTTTTTATCTCTAGTGAAGGATGAAATGTCTAACCAATTCTAATTTTTCGCATTTTGGAAATAGAGTATTTCCAAATAGTCTGTGTTTGGATATATTCCAAATATATCATTTAGTCATTCGATAAAAATATAATCAAAAACTCAAAATATAATTCATATTTTCGTGAATTTCATCAGCAAAAATCATCATCGAGCTTTCCAAGTATTTAAAACAATGTAAAAATAACTTTAAAACTTGTAAACATTAAATTATTGTTGTTTTCTTTATACATTTAACGTTTTTATTTTACGTTGTTTTAGTTTGAGTTTTTTTTCCTATTTTTAGCTTATTTGCAATCTATCTAATCGTAACTTTAGCAATCTGTGTGAAAATTCTGTGCAAGTTTTACTGTTGACAACTACATGTAGCAAGACAAACAAAAAAGTCATAAATCTATTTTAAAATATTTTCAGCGTGTTTGAGGTAGAATCTCTTAACTTTCCCGGGCAGAACACAAATGGAAACTGTCGCAGCTATTACAAAAAGGACTGTTGAACAGCCACGATTCTTTGTTGAACGATTTAGCTTTAGCGGTGAGATTTATAGTTGTGACAGCTAAAGGAAGGCTCGTGTCCCATTTCTTTAGTCTTTCCCAGGCGGCGAGAGCTCTGTTGGCGGGATTTCTACGAATAGTCGATGTTTTGATTGGCATTCCTAGTCTTCAAGCTCATAATTTGGAATCCAAGCTGAGAGAAGAGAGGAATAAGTATCTTGTAGCAGAATTGGTGTGTAGGGTAAGTAAATTTATGCTAGAACAGAATTATACTCATATAATTGTAAACTTTATGTAAATCCAAAGATTTAGTGAATAAAAATGTCAAAAATTTTATTTAAAAAATCCACGGCAACGCAAGACTTCCAATTGGGTTGCTGGACCCACATAGAGACGTAGTCTCTATGTGGGTCTAGTCACGTAGTGTACATATCAGTTGGCCTAAGATTAGATTGATAAGAAAATTAAATTTTGAGAGAACAAAAATAAAAGCGCAGCTTAAATTTTAGAAGTTTTAATTCATCGAACAAGATTTTTGAATTTCCTAATTATAAAAATATTTTATAACGTAATGAAAACTATTGATTAAATAGAATAATAATAAATTTAAAAAAACGCATAAAATAAATAGAATTTGCTCGTCGATTTTTCACTATAATGCGTCTTAATGCCCTTCGATCTGCTTCACAATCCACAAAAGGCAAAAAGCTTTACAATACTACAAAAACATTTGACATTAACTGACAATATTATTGTTTTGATGTCATTTTTCCATAGCTACCTCTGGATTCAACGTACTCATGAATTTGGGAATTTCTGTGGATGACCCTCATGACATAGCTGAATCTTTCAGTCAACATTTTTCGAATTCCGTAAAAAATTTAATTAGTCAAACTTCAACTGACTATAATCCTAAGAATCTTTCTTCGCCTATACACTCCCTTTTCCTTGATCCTGTTAGTGATGAAGAAATAAAGAGTATAATTAAAGATATCTCAAAAAAATCCTTGGCTGGACTTAACCAACTGATATGGTAAGGGGTTCGTACTCTATTTGTTATATAGGAAAGATAGACTAAGACAGTTATATTCAAATTTTATATAGCCACATATTCGTATCTTTACTACTTAAAATTGTTTTATTCTTTTATAATACTTTTCCGAATTATTTGGAAATATTTTAGCCTGAAAATGAAGATTCTTTGGAAGTATTGTGTTCTTTCATCCGAAAACAGCTAAGAAGGGCAGCTACCGAGAAGTTCGAGGTCACTAGAGAATGTTCACAACCTCCCGTTTCAGTCCCCTATAAATTTCTAACACCTTCAGGATCTGAATTAGATCTTCGACTATGGGACAGATCGCTAATGAGAAAGCTACTGCCCATTTTAGTTTCTATATTGGAGCGGGAAAACTAGAGGATGGTTCTTGCATTTTAGAGAAAGACTGATCGCTGAATTGAGGACTCAGAAGATGCCTGATGAGGATATTGAGAGGGTAAGAATGAAATATTTTAAATTTAAGTCCGAAAACAATCAATGTAATGTTGATCATTTTTTGTTGCCATCAATGTAATTAAAAAATAAAAACTTCATTGTTACTATTTTCATCTTAGGAAGTCAACGAAGCCGTAATGAAAGAATACCTTCAAAGAGTCTACAACAGTATTCTTGCTCATCCAGATATCATGGCTCTAGGTGAAGATTTTGGGCAACTTCTGGTTCAGCAAGCACAAAGCGTAGTTCTGATGCACAGAGCTGTAGAAAACGTCCAACATCGGTTGTATAAGTCACAGGAAGAGGTTAAAATTAGGTTGTGTAGCGCTCATCCAGTTTTGTCCAGAATCGGACCGTGGTTGAGGGCCAAACTTCGAGCTGCCGAACAAAAATTTAGTCAAGAGAATCAGTGGAGTGCTCACGAAGAGGCTTTGATGTTGTGCAATTCACAGAGGTTGTTGCAGACTGTATATTTTCTTAATAGGTAAATATTTTTATATTTTTTTATAAATGATTTATGGCAGGGTTTCCCAACCTTTTCTTTGTTGGGGCTCCCCGGACTATAAATTAAATTTTCATGCGCCCCCTTTACTTTTTTAATAAATACAACAAAAAACGCACATTATATACTTAAAATTTTATTTTAATTCTAATAAACAAATTTTAAAAGTTTAATTAAACTAGTACATGTTTTTTTATCAAAAAAATTAAATTTAACAAAGTAAATATTAATGAGACACTTGAGATTGCATATTCTGTACTATTTGGTTGATTCTAGGATCTGTTTTTGCCAGAGCTATCATCAGGTCGCTATCGACATCAAGACGATTTCTGTTTAGTTTTAATTAAAACTAGAGCAGAAAAGCCAGTCTCGCATAAGTAAGTCGAAGAAAAAGGAACTAGTATTCGTTAAAGCAAGAGAGGCAACCTTCGAATTAACAGGCAATCTTTTAATCCAAAATTTCTCCAATGTCAAGAGATGGAAGTCATCTTTCATGGACGAGTCAGCCATCATATCTAGAAATTCTTCCTGAATTTCTTCTGGTAATTGGAACACATCAACAATAAATGGATTTCTTGTCATACGCCATATTGGTGACTCTGAATTGATGTCTCGATAGTATCGACGAAAATCGTCTTTCAGCGCTTGGAAATGAGTTTTTATGTCAGCTTTCAAATTTGCGTCAAGTATATATTTTTAATTGCTTCGAACAGCCGAGAAAAAGACATAACATTTTCAGAAGAGATTTTTTGATTCCAAAGTTGAATCTTTGATATGAACCCCTGAATATAATCATAAGTGCTTTTTATAGTGCCGTTACTGCCTGAAGTTTTAAGTTTAGTTCATTCAAGGCATCGAATATGTCAGCCAAATAAGCCAACCTCCATTGAAATGTGTCATCTTTGAACATTGTGAAGAAATCGTGTTTTTCTTTGAACTCGAGAAAAAGAATTACTTCTTCTTTCAATTCATAAAGGCGAGCCACATGTTGCCTTTGGATAGTGAGCGTACTTCTGTATGGAACAGAAGAACTTTGTGATCAGAATCGAGATCCTCGCAAAGTAAAGTAAATAAAACGACTGTTCAAAGCGCTGCTCGTAATGTAGTTTACAATCCTTATAGCCGAGTCCAAAGTCTGGCGTAATTTCTGTGGTAATGTTTTGGAAGCCAAAGCTTGCCGATGAATAACACAATGTGTACTAACCATTGCGGGATTTTTTTCTTTGAGCTTTTTAGCTAAGCCCGATCGTACACCTATCATTGCAGGTGCGCCATCTGTGCAAAGTCCAATGAGTTTATTCCAATCCAAGTCATGTTTTTCAACAAAATTTGATATTGAATTAAATATATTCTCAGAAGTAGTACCTGCTGTCAAAGATTGGGAGTACAAAATCTCTTCTTCAATGATATCTCCTCTATTGGAAGCTTCGAAATGTGGCTTTATCGCCGTATCCTAAAAATACCATGGACAGCGAAAATCACAAATATAGATGTCCTTAAAAGAATAAACCAAGAACGCCAACTTTTCGAAACCATCAAGAAAAGGAAAACGGCGTATCTAGGTCACATCATGCGAAATGAAAAATACCAGTTCCTCCAACTTATAATCGAGGGTAAAATTGAAGGCAAGAGAGGAATGGGACGCAAGAAAATGTCCTGGCTCCGAAACATAAGGCAATGGACAGGGATTAACGACATACAAATCTCTGATACATATTGCAAGAAATAGAGAGTTAATGAAAATGTGATCGCTAACATCCATTAGTGGATTTGCATCTGAAGAAGAAGAAGAAGATATCTCCGCCGATGTAACGAACATACACTATTAACTGTGCACAATTAACGATGTCGGTGGATTCATCGCAACTAATTGCAAAAAATGGCGATAATTTTACTTTGTTGATTATTTGTGACTTTATGTCTGCTGCAATGTCATCGATTCTACGCTTGACTGTATTATCCGCAAGAGAAATAGATTTCATTTTTTGCTCTGCATCTTCTCCTAAAATTATCTGCGTGGCTTTTAGGACACACGGTTTTATTAATTCTTCACCAATAGTATGAGGTTTCTTTTGCTTTGCTATCATAAAATCTATTTCAAATGAAGCTTTGAGATGCTGACGATACACCTTTGTGATAACTTCCCGATTTATCCAATCTCATCCGCTTGAGTGATTCTGCTTTAGAAGAAAAAAACTCTTGCGTCTTCAAAACCAGAGTAGGATGTTGTACCGTTCAAATGTCTTTCAAGGCGATTGGGCCTCATGCTATCATTACTTAAATCTTTCATACATATCACACACTGAGGTAACTGTAACTCGTCTTTTTCTATGAAGGTAAATCCAAACTTATTATAATCTTCGGAAAACTTTCTTTTTTTCGCTGCCATTTTGCAACCTATAACAATAAAACAGTAATAAATAAACAAGCAAAATACCTACATGTAATTACTATTTATAAATGCCCATTTATCTTAATAACGTAATGTATTTAACGTTTCAAATTAATTCGCCACGTAGGTTTGATTGTAATGTGTTAAAAAAGATCCAATGATCGATCTGCGAACGCATCTTAGCTTCAATCAATAATTTAGTAAATTAAATAAAAATGACAACTGTAGTTTGTAAATACACAAACTTACCTTTTAACAGTGAAACACAATAATTATACACACTCAAACTAATTTCTCAGCAACAAATTGATACCGAAACGTCAAATTTTTCGTAAATTTGTGTGAATGAATGTCACAGATGCTCATGCACGTCCGGTAGGTACTCAACTATTTTCTATCTACCTATGATCTAATCCTAATTCCTAATGAACGTTATGCGGAATCGGTGCGGAGGGGTTGCGCGCGGATTTCATGTAGTGGCTTGTCGAAACTTATATAAACTGCGATTGACGACGTTGGTGTCGGGTTTTGAAACGGTTGTTGACATATTTAATTTTATTAATTTTATCCGTGTAAATTAAATATTACATTGTAATATTATTTGTAAATGTTGTTTGATTATTTTTTTTTCTTTCTGAAATCGCAAACGTCTTCCGCCCCCTTGACATCTCTCTATGATCCCCTTGGGGGCATGCCCCCCTGGTTGGGAACTCCGGATTTATAGTTTAGTTTCTAGAGAGCAATAAATATCAGAAAGTAGGTAGAGATCAATGAAAACTATCTTTAATATATGATACATTGTAGACTGTATTTTTATAATTTTCTTTTTCTTTTTGTCTTTACCTACTTTTTAATTTGTTTCTTCTGCAATATTATTTGTCTGTTTGTTACATTAATTCATGAAGATTCTTTCCCTTCCAGGGATTTAACTTTTATGAAAGAAAGGGAACCTGCTTTGCTAAGAGAACTGAGAAAAGACAAAATACCAACCAGAAGCTTCTTATGGCCAACGCAGATATGGTTACCGAAAAATTGGATAATTAGAAGAAACTTCCAAGGCCAGTCAGAGGTAGTACCGACTGTTTTAAGCAAGCAGGCAACCAGTATTACCACTCCTCGGTCTGATCCTAGTCAACCAGTACGTATATTAATTTTCATCGTTGTTAATGTTATTAATACTTATTTTTTGCGATTGTAGGTATTTCTAGTCGAAAAAGAAACCATCAGGACCACTACAACTCGCTGGCCTATATGGAGGATCTTCAACTACTTCCATCGCACTTGGTGTTGGACTTGGAACGCCATGTTCTTCTTCGGTATAGTTCTTCCGTGGTGTAGTCCAGTAGGTCTAAGGGCTCTGTTCTGTCTTGAACCTTTCATGGCGGATTTAGAATTGTCCCAGGTTAATGGAACTTTGTTTCCTAGAAAAAGCAGTTTAACTCCGACGCTGATGTCTAGGCTACTGAGTCTTTGGAGGCATATTTCAAAATCTAGGACACATTTTGAAACCAAGCCTGATACGGGGTTCATAGGGAAAGGGCTTACTAGACATCTGAATAGAATTTGGAATTATTTCATCAAGGGGTAAGTTTTTTAGAAGTATTAAACAGCAATGATAGTCTAATCCTTCGTCTTTTTTATTTTCAGGTTATTTGGTACAGTCCTCATAGTAGTCATCTTTCCAATAGCGTGTTTTATAGTGACTTTTGCCAGCCTATTTGTCGCTCTGACCTGCGTTCTTTGGATGCCAGCTCTCACACTAGCAGTTCAAGTTACCAATCTCCTCATTTACGATTTAGATAGTCCGGAACAACAACGGAACCGATTTTTTGTTATATTGGAAGCAGTTTTGTGGAATATATCGTTTCAAGGTTGTTTGCAACCTTTGCTAGCCTTATTTGTAGCTGTTGTTGTGTGTCCCGTGATATCGCTTACGATTTTAGCAGGTAAGTCCAGGTATACAAATAGAACTTTTAATAGTTTTTGGTACATATTTTCTAACATTCAAACAACATCGAAATTAAATCGATAAAATCTAATAGAACGCATCCCGTAAGTCTAAAATTACTGGGTAAATCTCTTAGCTTCGTCACACTTCACAACCGTATTTAGCAGAGAAATTTCCCAGTTTAGCGGAAAATTTTAGTCGATCGCCGTTAGATGATTGGTATAGCGCATTCCCCAACCTCCGACGAGTTATCAAGTTCCTTTGCTATTCACTGAAAATTCACTACGAATTTTGACCATGATGAACGGCATGTGGAATCCAATCTTAGATTCCCTTGCCGAGAAATTTATCAAGCTTTTTGCTTTGCAAGTTTTAGAAAGCAGTGGTAAAGATTTGAATTCGATTTCGCCAGGTAGAAATCGTATGATTTCTCTTTTTGTTAAATATAATTGTTCCAAATAATATGCCCAAGCCCCCGTGGTCCCTGCCCGCGTCCCCGAGAAAAAACTTGATGAAGAAACCATCAGGACCTGTCTAAAGAGGCAAAGTCAAGACCTTAACACAGAAGACTGGTTGTGATCTCTGTTCCATAGACTGAAGTACAGTAAAGATAAACGTTATAGAGGGAGGAGTTATGAAGGAGATAGTTCTCAGATCAGCATACCTCCCATATGATGATCCTGAACAATCATTAAGGGAGTTGGAATAGTTAGTGAGAGATTGCATGAAAAATGAACTGCAATTAATCATTGGCTATGATATGAATGCCTACCATCTGACTTGGGACAGTACAAACACCAAACTGTTAAAAAATGGCATGCTTTAGATGAGGTGTCTTGTTCAGACCATCGAGATAGGCAATGAGCATATCAAGGAAACTTATCGTAATCCTCGTAAAACAAATTAGGAAGCATATCAAGCAGACTCGGAATATTGTTTAGGTAAAATTAAAGGGACGATAAGGTATACATTGAACGTAGACATGGTCGCCGTACAATTTCTTTGTCATGTCAGCGCTTGAAGATAACTATCCGGAGATAGTGAGGAATTTCAAGAGGAAAGTACCCTGGTGAAATGACAATCTTGCAAATTAAAGGACAGAAGTCAGAAGAAAATTTAATGGCTCCAAAAGATCTGGTGAGTGGGGCGGGATTATTGCAACATGACTGAATAACACTTGAAAGACAAAAAGATGAATCATGGAGGGAATGTTAGGACTTAGGCTAGAAAAGACTGCAGAATAGTGAAGTTTCAAAATGTCTCTCAAACAGACCTTTAGATAAGTATTACTCACTCCAAATAAGTCAGGTAAATCTCCTCTAAATTGTGAAGTGAGAGAAGGAAGAGAAGGATCATCGAGCAAAAAGACAAACGAGGGAATTAATCTTAGAAAGGAGCCCAAAAAAAGTGGCCTTGATGGCGGACATATCGGAATGCTGAGATGCGCCAAATTTAAATTTTCGACATTATCAACAGTAGTATATATATTTTTTCAGATGTGTCTAGGACGATAAGAAAGTTTTAATTAATTATTAACGATAATAGTCTAAATTGCGATACAGTTGTTAAAAAACTTAATATAAAATAACATTTTCGTGTGACATTTGGGGGACAACAATAACATAACCCAATCTAAACTTGATTGTCAACAAGGAGAGAGATTCTTTTCTCTTGTTTAATGTGGCCTTAAAGAGCGCACTTCTGTCTAACATATGTTTGCCCATACCTTACATTCCCTCTTTTGTTCTTTGTTGCGCGATCATGAGGATGAAGATGTTTGAGGAAAAGCAATTATCAGCGCATGGAGACTAGCAGTAACATTAAGATTTCTTTTGCAACAGAAGAAACATTCGGAGTGTCTAAAATATTCTGTATTATTATACCGCAGGCTTAGGCCGTTAATACCTGAAACATGTGATGCTATCAGAACTATGGAAGGCAAGCTCGCCGAACGCAACACACGCTAGGATATGCTCGCAGGCAAGCAAAACCGAACGGAATAAAATATGAATTTTCATATTTGCTCGGTTGCATGTACATGCACCGATAACTGTACAGTTTTATCACATACACGCTAGAGCTTGCCTGTTGGTTATGTATGCAAGGTTAAAACCATCATGCAAACCCTAACGTGCATGGTCTCCATAAGGGGGAGACATGAGTTTTTATTTAAGTTTTTTTTTATATTGAGATTTATTTAGACTTAGTCACTTTAAGTTATTTTGGAGAAGTGTTTATAGATTTTTCCATTTTATAAATTTTATTTCTAGTAAAATTCCATAGTCGCGCTAATATGTCTACTTAAAGTAAATGAATTAAGTTACTATCTTTCTTAGCTTTATACGTTATTATTATTATGCTGGTATTAAAAATGACTTTATTCGGGATGAATGTTTGTACGATTTGAAAAATACTAATTAAATTTTAAATTTTCAGGCGGTTTCATCCGCTACTGGTTACGTCTTCTCTGGGACGCCTTGATCTTCCATATGTTAATCAAAAAACGCGGTCGCATTCCGGCCAGTGACAGCTTCGTGGTGAAACGAATAGCAGGCCCCGGCTTAGCTTCCGATTACTACTTCCAGATCAGTCCAGAACAAGCCCTAGCTGCCTTCGAAGCCAAAATGGAATGGGACGAGCTCGCTGCCTATCAATCCGTCATCGAGAGCACCATCGTCCAACCCCAGAAAGATTTCAGTCATTTCGTCGAGGCTTGTTTCGGAAGCTTTTCTACTCAACTTGCCAAGAACGGGGCGTACAGGAGTTTGGAGAAGGAAGCGCAGGATTTGATGGGTATTTTGCACGAGAAATTGGAGAAGAGGAGGAGAGACTTGCAGACGGGCCTTAGCGTTACGGTCAAGAGTAAAGTCAAGCTTAGCACGCCAGATTTGAAGGTAAAAATATATTATTCATTGAAAAAACGTTACTTTGTAAAAAAAATTGGGTATTGAGAATATGAAAGAGTAAGAGATAGCTGCAAACAACATTGAAGCGAGACACAAACAGAAGCGTCTACATAGGTTTGGTAGTTAGTACGAACTACTTACATAGTTTAGTAGGAACTAAACTGCTTCCAAACGTGAAGGTTTCCTTTTTATTTGACACTCTTTAATAGAGCTTTTATATATCTTACAAAAGTAAGGTTAGATTAGGTTATGTAGTATTTATGATGAATTCTTTGAGTGGGGGTGACTATCCACCCAAAAACGAAGACGTATTCCAAAGCTTGCACTATATACGTTTTTTTATGGTTAATATATAATAATTTCATGTTAATGTTTCAGATTTCCATTCAACAAGGCGCCCTGATGCTGGAACGGTTTTATCCAAAACAAATTATTCCGAAACTGGGTTGTACAGAAGATCAATTCTGGGACAGTCGAGCGCTGAGTCCCGGCGATTGGGCAGGCCTGGCCGGACTTCTGTATTCGGAACTGTTTAGTTTAGACTTCCTAACGCCACTGGATCATACCGATACTAGTTTTAGGCTTGATTCACACTCGCAGGTCGACCTGAGCAGGTACACCGATATGGTCCAATGTGCCCAATTAGGTAAGCACATATTTATTCTAAAATTTCAATTATTTTTTGATTGCTTTGAAGTGTATTTGGATTAAATACCAACGAATATAGGCGTTTATACGTTTATAGAAGGTTACCTCTTATGAGGACGAGTTGATTTCCATCAGTTATCTTTGGAGTCACTTCTTTGACTGCATTATTGAAGATCTTATTTTCATACTTATCTACTTTCACGTATTCTATTTTTCTTTTCAGTTGATCTATTCTTTATTTTTTCCAAATTTTCCAATGATCTGTCGTCCCCATCTCTTTTAGACACTCCTGTTTAAATAAGATGTAACTTTCTGATAATAATTTAATTCAAAGTTGTTGTATCTTTTGTTTTGTAGGAGCAGGCGGTCCTGATTTGTTAGGGAACGTTTACACGCCCAGAGGAAATATCCAAGTTCATTCTCCGTACCTCGATGTTTCTGCATTTAATCCTAGATC